ACCAGAACGTCTACCACAACACCTTAGTGCATCATGCATTCCTTCTGGACTGAACCTGATTGGTCGTGGGTTCATACACCAACCAGACAATGAGCCCAGCAGACTTCAAAGCTGTGCAGAGACCATCTGACCCAATTAAAGGAGTCTGCAGTTCTGGAAGTGATGGACCGGCCCAGTCAGAGTCTGGATTAGAATCCTATTGAACACATCTCTGTGTCTAACTGTGTGTCCTCTCCCTTCAGAACCTCCACAGATCGCTGTAACACCATTTTTGATGCTGTGGCAAAGATTAGAGGCGAGACTTTCTTCTTCAGAGGTCTGTAACTAATTAGAAAGGACACTTTAACTAGTTTGAAATGATGAAAAACTGTCTGGCTGCAGTTAGCATGACCACTCACTTCTCCTCCTTAAATCCCTGCAGGCCTGACGATGTGGAGAGTCAGCAGTGGAGGTTTAGTGTCGGGTCGTGGAGCTTCGGTCAGGAGGCTGTGGAGGAGCTTACCTCCCGACCTGCCTCGACTTCACGCTGTGCTGGAGCGACAGTCAGATCATGCTATCATCTTTATCAGTGGTAAAATACAATTCTATAATAAAACACTATATTTTCACGTGAATGAAGGAGATTCCAGGTCATCCAGGCCTCTATGTCCTTCAGACATGTTGGAGTCTGACCAACTGTTTGACCAACCTTCATAGATAAATATAACTGGGTGTCATCTGCATAACAGTGGAAATGTCTGCAGTGCTTCCTGATAATACTGCCTAAAGGGAGCATGTACAAGGTCCTAACACAGAGCCCTGTGGAACTCCATCACTACCTCTACTGCAGGTGGAAGAACCATCATTAACATGAACAAACTGGAATCTGTCTGATAAATATGATTTAAACAACTGTTGTTTCAAGTTGTGAGAAAACAAACTGAGAAACATAAAAGTCATTGATGTGTTTGAATGCTGCAGGTTCCCAGTTCTGGCTGTTCAGAGACCTGACCCTGCAGGATGGCTACCCTCAGCCGCTGTCTGCTCTCAGGATGGGGGTCAGCCTGGCTGGACGAGACGCTGATGAAGATGAAGAAGCAGGAACAGGGAGGTTTGGTCTGGTCTGGGACCCAGAGGAGGGTCCTGTGTGGGGAAAAATAGAACCTGCTGAGGAAGAAATGCAAGAAGACACCTGGACTCGACTGCTTAAGGAGGGAGTCAGCGGCATCACCACAGACACTGATGGTGAGGATCTGAACCATGTTTCTGCTGGTGTTTCATGTTGGATCAGATGGGTGACAGATTGAAGGAAAAACCATGAAGCGTCTTGGTAAGGTGTTGGCACCATGTTCTGCTTCTCCACGTCTGTGAACTCTACTGGAGGGATGGACACCTTTATTCCCTTACTTGATGTTTATGGTGATGGACAGCGCTGTCACACAGGTGGCTCTTCTGTTGACCTCATTTCTAACTTCTCCAACCTCTCTAACTGTTCCTAACCACTTCATGACATTAAATATTATTTTTGTGTAAATCTATCCCGCTGAGGACCGAAGAGTCTGTATAAAGGAGAAAAGATGAATCCCCATTCTGACTGATTTCATTTATGCATTTAGGACAAGGACCAGGTTACGCTACAGGTAAAGGTGAGTCAAACCCTTCCAAACTTCTCTCCCTCCTCTCCAGGTTCTGTCTATCTCTTCAGAGGAGACTCCTACTGGAAGTTCATGTTCCCGGGCTCCTCACCACAGGACGGATACCCACGATCCTCTGCTGCAGACTGGCTCGACTGCACCGACTCAACCTCCCCTGGCGTGGACGACCTCTCCTTGTCTCTGTCTCCATCTGCTGGACGACAGGAGCTCAGGGGCAGATGGGCAGAGGAGGAGGAAGCAGGAGGAAGGAGGAAGGCCAAACGTAAACACATGTGGACACAATGCACATGTCAGAATGGAGCAGACAGAAGAGGTGTGGCTGCCGCCCTGCTGCTGCTCACATGCACACGGCTGGCTGTTTAAAGCTCAGAGGAACGTTACAAGTCAAGGCTCATGAGGCTCAATTAGGAGGCGTGACTGTAAGAGAAGAACATCTCATCTATCAACACTCTGTTAATCAGGACTCGTTTTATTACCAAGTAGGTTTCCACAGATGAGGAATTAAACTCGGTGTTGTGGTGCATCACACACCAACATGTAGAAGTGTCACGAGTCATCATTCACCGCTTACAGACATGACGACATCCCATATTACCGTCTTTCTGAGTGTGAGATGAGGAGTGTGTTCAGAGCTGGAGACTGGCAGCAGTGCTGTGTGAGGAGCTCCTTCATCTTTATGCAGTCTTTGAGAAAAACTGGAACACTGACTTTTTCCAGACAAGGCAGTAAACCTGAGCCATGCAGCAATAAATACTAATAATACTGAATGGTGCTGATGTTGCCAATAGATTACTTCTAGGCAGAAACCAGACTCTGTATTAAACTGAATGCAATAAATGGGCATGCAACACTTCATGCATCATGGTGGAGACATTTTATTTATAATGTTAGTGTACAAATCAGTCCTTGTTCATGCTGTGCAGGACGGTGAAATGAGCCATGACAGCAGCTGTATATTAAAACGACATGCATTATGTACATTTCACATAGAAAACACACTCCTGACTACACACTGAGTTTGTTCTGAAGTCAAGTCAAACAGCATGAATAAAATGGGAAGGTGAAGCAGGTGAAGTGTTGATGTTAAGGCTACAGCCACTGGAACTGCTGACAATAAATTGGAGTACGTCAGAGATATTACTGTGTTCTCTGATAATGTTTGATCATTTTATGCATTAAAATAAACTGTAAGCACAGTTTATTGTACTTAAAATAAATACTATTATATATTTAATTAGCATCTGAACTTCTTTTATCTCAAGAATCAGCAGCGTCTCAGCAGAGGGAGGCTCACAGCCAGCGTTGCATTTCAGTTGTAATAAGTGTTGACCAGCAGAGGGCGATAAAGAGGTTCACTGTAATGAGCAGAACATGAACAGAACATGTTCCGGTAGGAGCACCAACTCCTTCAGATGAACAGGAGGGAACATCTACTGAAGGCAATCTTCTGTCGGTGATGAGGTTTGATTTTTCTCAATTTATCCACATTTACCACAAATTCATCTTTTACCACGGCTACGGTTGGAGGGGAGAGGAGCTGCGTTGGGAAACAAGTAAAGTCACGAAATTTCATCAACTTAACTCATTTAAAAAAGTTTTTTTTTTAAAAAGAAGATGGCATTCCAGTTTGAGTTCAGAGAAAATTGAAGGGATTTTGAAGGGAAAATAAATTTGTTTTGGTCTGAGAGGCACCAGTTTCAAAAATGTGAGAAATAAAGTGACGCCCAGATGTTCAGAGTTCGTGTCCAGGGACGGACGAGAGACCCTCAGTCTGGGTTACCATGGTGACGGGTCTAATATAAGGTTTATTGGTTGAAAAGGAGTGAAGCAGTAAAATAAAGACACACTGATCTGAAATGAGTTTGTGATTTGGTGCAAACTAACTTCCATTCAGTTATTTCTTCCAGCCCCTAAAACCTCCAGGCCACATCTCAAATATTTCTGCCTTAAAAAACAGATTGTGTCCGTAACAGCTTCAGAGCTGAAAGGCCAAAATGAACAACTCTGCACTTGATGTTCAGAAACACTTTGGAGAATTTTAAATTACAGCAAGTCTCCTGATCAGACTCCTAGTTTGTCTCAGGATCTGTTTCTGGTGGAACTTTCCTTGTTGTGATTAATGATCCAATCATGAAGTACATACAGTCGAGTCTCACCTGGTCCTCACCTGGATTGTTCTTTGTGCTGACTGACTTTCTGTGTAAAACTGAAACATTGTTGTGCTTCTCTTCAGGTTCAACAACACTTGTGATTAGCTGTTCCTGAACATTTATCCTGTCAGGGTTTTGGCCTGTGTTTATGTTCTCCTGCAGGTTTCCACCAGAGGGCGTCCCGGAGAACTCCTGCTCTGCTGGGGCTCATTCCCTGGCTGGAGTGTTCACCTACGTGGTAGCGTCAAGCCTCCTCCCGAGTTTTTCCTCGTGCTTCTTTCCGAGCTTCTGAGTCACTGTCTCTTTCCTTCTCCCAAGGTTCTTCCTGTGTTCCTGCTCTTCACATGTGGTTCACCACAACCTACCTGCGCCAGACCTGAGTTTTCTCCGTACCTTCCTGGATCCTTGGTTCATGACTGGTAACACTCCTGCTTCTCACTCAGTCCACTGTTCTGACCAGCGAGCCACCCGTCTGCTCCAGCCGTCCACAAACCCACATCTTCGTCTCCACCTGGATCAAGCTCTTCGTTGCATGTTACCAACCACCGCAATAAACATCACTTTCCTAACTCCATGTCTCCTGAGTGTTACTCTGCATGTGGGTCAGAAACCTCAACAAAACCGTGACATATCCAACGAGCCCAAAGTTGTTCGTTGCACCTTTAACTGCTTTTGAACTGTGACTAATTAAATCAGTGAGTTTTTTTCAGGCAGCAACTTCTACAGATAGCCAAGGAGAGGCCTCCAGGGTTCACCTGTCTGCTGGGTCCAGTCATTAAGGCACCTCCTAAACTCTCCTTCCTGGCCTTCAGGTGAACAGTGATGTTAGTTTTTGGTGTATTTTCTGTTAATGTTCTTAAGACTGAACACCAGAGCTCAGAAACCTGTTTGGTGACTCACATTCATGTGAACTGACTCTCAGTAAAAGGAAACTTATTCTGGATCAGCTCTGGTACCGTCATGAGTGTGGAGCAGACACAGTGAGCTCTGGCATCACGGGAGTCATGAGGTTCTTGGTGCTACAGCCCAGCGCTGAATGATCCTGATGCTGGTAAATGATGCTCTGACTTGTACAAAGTGAGTTGGCTCCAGTAGTGCTGGTGTTCTGGTATTTTGGGTCAGTGATTTGACACGACGGCCTCCTACACTGGAACTCCCCTGGCTGGATCAGCTCGATGCTGAGAAGGGGAATCCTCAGATTCCACATCATCTACGCGATTTACTGCCACCACGGCCGCCGTGGTTTCTCCATTACACTCATAGAAACAGCAGAGTGAGATAAACTAGATTCCTTCATGCTCATCTCGACTTCAGCGGCTCCGGACGCAATGAAAGAGAAACGTGGGTCAGTAGAAACATGGATTCACTGTGACAGCACGAAACCAGCGGCCCGCATCTGGAGTGTTAGTGGTCACTAACCCTAACCTGTTAGCATTCACTAATCCTAACTAGTAGTCACTAACCCTAACCTGTTAGTGGTCACTAACCCTAACCTGTTAGCATTCACTAATCCTAACTAGTAGTCACTAACCCTAACCTGTTAGTGGTCACTAACCCTAACCTGTTAGTATTCACTAATCCTAACTAGTGGTCACTAACCCTAACCCTACTCTGCTGCTCCAGTTTATTAATAAATTCCTCCAACTGTTCAGACACACAGAGATGTTAGACAGTTCCATCTCTGTTATTCTCATGAAGAGAAGAATTCACGGTACCGTGGAAGTTCTCTGCTCATAAGCAGACAGGTGGAAAACCATCAGCAGAGAGATAAGACGAGCCAGCTCTGCTTATCTCGGTCATCGGACTGTTTCAGGCCACATAAATCCCTTTCCACCTTTAGATTAGTCAGCATGTCAGAGCTGAGAAATAAAGACTTGTCTCACTTTTCAGATGACTGACAGTTTTTGAGCGATCGCCACAAACGAAGCAAACAGAAGAAAAACAGTGACAGGAAGAGTCTGGTTAGAATCATGAACAGTTCAAGCTGTAGTTTGTCTTGTTCAGAGGCTGCCTTTGAACGGTGGAGAAACAGGGAGTGAGGAATAAAATAGAGCTGAAGGAGAAGTTCAGCCGTCAGAAGCTCTTTATCCTTCAGAAGAAACCGATTTTCACTGATGCTGTCCGACAGTTTATCGGAACCTGCTGGAAGGTCTTTCTTCTTCACCCTGATATTGTCCAACACTTCAGGTGAAGCCCTCCTGGTGCCTACACGGAGGTGAACAGGGCGGACTGACCTGTGATCCACCTCCGACCAGAACCCTGAACATTTCAGCTGGAGAGTCGACGAGGAAAGCAGCGAGGAGAATCTCCGACAGTCTGAAATACATTTGAACACTAAAACCCTGGAGCTTCAGAGCAGAGTCTATCTCATGAACAAGAACCAAGTTTGTTTTGTTCAGATTCCCTCCACAAACTTTTCAAGGTTTCACATTTAGTTTGATAATAAAGCTGCAGAATGTGTTCACTTTATGTGCTGCTGTGTAAATCATAAATCTCTCTCTCTACGTATATATTTATGTGTGTGTGTGTTTATTCATATAAATGCTTTTTTAAATTTTGGAGCTCAGCCAGTTGAGATATCGTGATGTTCCTGTTCTTTACAAACTGCTTATCTTTAACATATTGCAAAACAGCTTTTCATAATTGCTTTGTGATATTAACACCTTAATCCTCACTAGGGTCATGGGGGGCGGAGCCTATCCCAGCTGACTCAGGGTGAAGGCAGGTTCACCTGGACAGGTAACCAGTCTATCACAGGGCTACACTTAGAGACAGACAACCAAGCACACTCACATTCCCACCTACGGACAATTTACAATCACCAATTAACCTCAGCATGTTTGTGGACTGTGGGAGGAAGCCGGAGAACCCGGAGAGAACCCACGCTGCACGGGGAGAACATGGAGACTCCACGCAGGAAGATCCTGGGTGTCCTCACCGGGACGTGAACAGGCGACCTTCTAGCTGTGAGGCCACGGTGCTAACCACTGATCCACCTGCAGCTCTGATATAAACATGTTAATGTAAAATTAAATACTGAAATAATTGTTCTTGCTGTTTATTTCTTGTATTTTTGACCCACTCCATCATTTCATGTCTTCCTTGTATCAGAATATCCAAAACTACATCATCAGTGCTTTAGAATAAAATGCTTTTACTGTCATTATACACAAAGTACAACAAAATCTATTTTACAGTTCAGCTCAGGTTTCCACCCGTTTTAAAGGAAACTTATTTTCTGCCAGATTGCGTTTGTTTGTAACGTATCACAGATGTAATGAACTTTATTTCGCTGAGTCACTCTTTCTCTTTTTTCAGCCACTCTTCATTTTTCCAAACCATCTCCAGGTCATTTGGTGTCTGACCGTAACAGAGCGTCGAACAAACACGTCTACCAAAGTGAGATATTTTCCTAAAGTCAGCTGGAGAGTGAAAACTGAAAGCAGACAGAAAACTAAACTGCTCGTCCATCTCACAAACTCTGGTTTCTGGTTTCAGCCTCCTAACCTGGATCCTGTTGCTCCTTCAGACTCAGGCCACAGACGACGTTTATTCTCAGTCAAAATGATGTTTCCTTTAAAACGTATCAGAGAAAGCCGCTTAGTTACACAGGAGCAGCACGTTGTGGACATTTAAGAGCTCCGGATGTTTAGTGAACATGGCCCTTGGCTTCATGACATGGATCTCCTGTTTCAGTGCTGAGAA